ATTAGGCTAAAAGAGTAAAAGAAAAAAAACTACATTTAAAATATTAAAGGAAACTATTTTGGACCCCAAACAATTAGCCCATAACTTAATAATAATAATAATAATAACAAAAAAACAACCGTTCCTTTTTTCATTTTTTTCTTCTTTATATATATATATATATATATATATATATATATATATATATATATATATATATATATATATATATATATTGGGAGAAGTTTTTTTATTTTTGGGATAGGCACGGGCTGGACAATTTCTCATTTCTTTAAAAAAAACAAAATCTTCTCTTGTAATCCTTTTTATATCAACCCTTTCCAAGCACTTTCCCATTTCCCCGTAATCATTTTTTTATACCAAAAACTAAAACTCCCACTCAACTTTCCTTTAGCCCGACCTACGGTAGATAAAGACAAAGAAAAAAAATTGATTTTATACCTTTTAACTTCTTCCTTGCTAGCCACCCGCAACATTAGTAAAACACCGGGCCTCCCATGCTTTAACTTAGAACTCAGCCGATAAACATCACGCCACAGGTAGACTCTCCTCCTATCTCATTACCTCGGGTAAGATCCCTACCCTAGTTTATCACCCGAATTATTTCCTCTTAAACCTAGGCTTTCATATGAACGAAGAGCACCCAAAAACAAATCCCAAAAAACATAGAAACTAAAGATCAAAAATCAAGTCTTTTAGCCCTTAGGTTTCACTTTCTCTCCACCGAATTCCTTCCTCCTCTCCTATTTTTTCTCTCTCCTTGCAAATTGGAATCCGAAAGCTTTTTATAGGTCGAAACCTCCTAAAATCTCTCCCAAAATCAATTTTAATTGTCAAATCTTAATTTTGAGATTCGATTAGCTAAAAATAAGGAGATACCAATTCAAAAAGATTTGTGGAAGATTTCAACATATTTTTGAATGATTTTAGGGAGATATTTTTTTTCCTTTTTTTTTTGTTTCTTTGTTTTTTTCCCTTTAAAGGAACCAAAAATTGGGTTATGACAGTTACCCCTCTTTATAATGCTTACGATGCAAATCTTAGCTGAAGTGTGAACTTCGGAATAGATTTGTTTAGTGAGCTTGTAAAGAAATTCTTTTTTTTTTTTTAGTTTTGAAAAAATAAATGTGTAGTTCATGAAAAATTAAGTACAAAGTACATGAAAAATAAAAGATGCGAGTACATGGCCTTATTGTAAAGGGCGACCTACCCTAGAAATTTAAACGTGCAAATGTATGGCCTTGTTGTAAAGGGGAGCCTATCCTAGAAATTTAAACGTGCAAATGCGTGGCCTTATTGTAAAGGGCGACCTACCCTAAAATTAAACATGTGATGTGTGACCTTATTGTAAAGGGCAACCTACCCCGAAAAATTAAATGTGTCATGCGTGGCCTTATTGTAAAGGGTAGCCTACCTTCGAAATTGAATATGCAATGGTCTATTGTAAGGCGATCCTATCCGAAAGAATGGTCTATTGTAAGGCGACCCTACCTGAATGAATGATCTATTATTAGGCAATCCCGCCTGAAAGAATGATCTATTGTGAGGTGACCCTACCTAAGTAAATTATCTATTATTAGGCGATCCTGTCCGAAAGAGTGGTCTATTGTGAGGTGACCCTACCTAAGTGAATGATCTATTATTAAGCGATCCCGCCTGAAAGAATGGTCTATTGAGAGGTGACCCTACCTAAGTGAATGATCTATTATTAGACAATCTCGCCCGAAAGAATGGTCTATTGTGAGGTGACCCAGCTAAGTGAATGATCTATTATTAGGCGATCCCGCTCGAAAGAATGATCTATTGTGAGGTGACCTCGCCTAAGTGAATGATCTATTATTAGGCGATCCTACCCGAAAGAATGGTCTATTGTGAGGTGACCATACCTAAACGGATGATCTATTATTAGGCGATCCCGCTCGAAAAAATGTGTGGGGAAATGTGACCCCCTTCTTTTTCTTTTTTTTGAATTTCGAGTTTGATTGAACTTTTTTTTTGTTTTTTTTTTTTTTGAGTTGAAATTGACAACAATCTTACCTAAGAGAAACATAGGTTGTCCTTCTTTGTCGGTACTCAATCCCCCTTTACCTCATTTTGGAAATCCGTGTCGGACTATGTCTCGTAGTACTCGTCAAAATTTTCTTACCACCGGGGCTCGCATCACTATTCATAGGGAACTTGAGTCTCTCTCTCTCTCTTTTTAAACCATTTGGTCTTTGTTGGAAAGTGATAAACCACCACATGTGTATTTAAAAAAAAGTTTTTTGTGTTGGCATGCATGCCTTCCACGAAGGGTTTTGGCAACTACTACCTACCACGAAAGGTGCTAAAAAGCACTATGTATCGCGAAGGGTACTAGCAAGCACTATCTCGCCATAAAAAAATGGAATTGCCTACCACTATTTGTTACAAAAATTTCTTTTAAAAAAATTTATTGATGTCAAGTATAAAAAAAAACATTGAAAAGATGAAATTTTTTGGAATGCTACATAAAAAAAAAAAAAAAAAAAAAAAACACACACACACACACACACACAAACAAAAACACAAATAAAAAAATTTTTTTGCTTCCAATACAACATCATCGGGAAATATCCTTTGTTGAAATTCTTTAGGCATAAGACTTCGATCAATTTCAAACTTGTTTTGTAGCTTCTTCTTTTCTATCCATCGGACTATAGATTATTCTCTCGCCATAAATTCCATAATTGGTTATTGATAAAAGTAAAATTGTAATATTTAATTCTTTATGCTTCATCTCCATTATGTTAATTGTAGTCCTTGTAAACTGTGATTAAGATCCGATAAAAAAATTACGAGGTTCGACAATGTGCTTACTTTATGATCGTATTAGGTTTTTCAATCAGCTATAAATACAAGAGATAATGTCCATATTTATAGTGTGACCGTAGTGCCGACTACGAGTAGTGTAATAAACTACGGGCCACATCCACATTAATCTCGACAACTTAACATATTGCAAGTCTGTATTTGTTTCTTTAAGTGTCAAAAAAAAAAAAAACATGACAAGTCATCCACAATTTTTGTGAGGTTATTCTTTCCAATTCTATTTATTTATTATTATTTTTATATATATTTTTCTCTATTCTGCTATACATAGTCACACAAACATCCTTGTTGACAAGGTTGTTCGTGTAAGGAGCTAAATATATATGTTTGATATTTTAACTAATTAATTTAGCTAATTTTTTTCTCGTATTAATTTATTTTATTTTATTTTTATTTTGAGATGGATTCAAATTGCACGATAAATGGATTGAACTATGGACCTAACTCAACACAAGGTCTTGGATCGCAAGAATGACATGAGTATTCTAGCAGGGCCGGTGTCCATGTCTTGTAATTAGGATGCATTAGGGACATTGGGTTGGTGGGCTTGGAGCGGGATTCGTTAAGAAAAGACTCAATTATTACTTTCTTTAACCTTTACTAGCAAATTGAAACGAGTTTAGCTCAAAGAACCTAAATCCTATAAGCCAAATCTAATCGTCCAAACTTGGATGACATGACATCATCCTAGCATTTAAGGATCATCTTTTTTCACTATAAATACTAGCCTCACATTATTGTGAGCACATAAGAACTTTTGCATTAGATAACTTTTGACTTCGAACTTTTAATATTTAGCAAAAGAAACATCCGAACTCTCCACCTCAAAACTCCCCTACTCAAACACTAGACAATACCTAAATCTCCATATATTTGGATCTTTACTACCCATTTGTCGACTATACGACTTGCGCCTTGCTAGCCTTACCTCGCTTCTCCTCTTATGCCTCTCACTATTTGCATTATTTCGTTTGGTCGGTTGATCGTTGTTTTTATAAGCTACAACACTAACTCTTTACATCTTGAATAAGCCGTTGACCGGTTGTCTAATCAATTTTGAAGAACCTCCATTACATATTCTTTTTATTTATTTTAATTTTTTATTTTGATTTTATCTCCATAACTTAATTGTTTTATTTTTCTTTAGGTTGCTACCTAATAGTAAAATACTCTCTTTTAATTGCATCTAATAGTTTTTACATATTTGTACAAAGAAAAGAAATTATCCATATCATAGGTATTATTTGTAAGACCACGACCGATCTTGAAAGGAATGAATTATCTCTTTCAATTGCATCTAATAGTTTTTACATATTTGTATAAAGAAAAGAAGTTATCCATATCATTGGTATTATTTGTAAAACCACAACTGATCTTGAAAGGAATGATTGAAAAAAAACAACATGTTGTATCAATATAAAATTTTTAGAATATTGTATTCTTCCCGTACTTGTTTCAATCAAACTTTGTTTGAATTCTCGACGTGGAACATAAAAAAAATAAATAAAAATGAATTCAAATCTAAACTTAGGTTGGATTGATTTAATAAATGGATAAAGCTCCGTTGTCGGATCTTTCTAAAAGTGAATCGGAGACTCTTTCCTTAATCACAACAATAATAATATCGTCAATATGAGCATATTGATGGTTACTAGTTTCAATAATTTGAATAAACATAAATTGTCGAGCTCAATTATTATCTACTACATTTAAATGAATTTGAGATTGAACATATTTATTTTTTAATTTGTTAAATAATTTAATCTTTCTCAATTTCTTTTTTGTGTTTTTCAATATATTTTATCCTTTTCTTTCTTGAAAAATAGGGGAAAAATGTTAATTATATTAAATGAGGAAATTTGACTACAAAAAGAGGTATTTTTGTTTAAAACAAACTACTCAACTAAGGATGATCTTCAATCAATAAACTATATTTAATTACTTATTTACTGGAAACAAACGTAACATTACTGTAGTTCTTTGTTTTTCAATTAAAGAACGGCACCGTTGGCTCACGAAAACCTTTCCTTTAAGTAAAAACCCCGAAGCCTCGACTCCTCGCTCATCCTCCACGCCGCTGAATTATTTCTGTCACTCAAAAAACCGGCGAACCCCGAAAGAAGAAGCCAAGGTTTCGGGTGAGAAAAATAATGGAGGGAGTGGGGTCTCGGCTGGGCCGGGCTTCGTCTCGGTACGGCCCAACAGCGACGGCCACTGTTTTCAATGGCCCCGTCAGGAAGTGGAAGAGGAAGTGGGTCCACGTGTCCCCTTCTCCCACCATCAATTACCGCAACAACAACCACTCCAACGGCCATAACGACAACAACAACGGCTCCCGCCTCCTCCTCTGTCGGTGGACCCCACTATCCCCCGCCGCCGCCAGCGGCACCACCACGTCCTCCTCCTCCGAGGATCCACCTAAACGCAAATTCCGATACACCCCAGTAAGTAAAACACAACATAACATGAGTTTTTGTAAGTGATTTTGCTTTTTCAGTTGTTGTAGAATAATAGGGGAGGTGGAATTAAGTTTTGTGTTGTTATTTTATTTTATTTTTATGTTTTTTTTTTTTTGGTTATGTTGTAGATTGCTGTACTAGAGGAACGCAGCAAGGTAGAAAAGAAGGTTGAACAAGAAGATGAGAAGCAGTTGGTAGGGTGGCAAACTGCGAAGGAAGATGACCAAATTGTTGGAGATGATTTCCAGGTCCCACCCACTTAAAACACTTTTTACCGCAAATTATATATATATATATAATGATTACTCATTCTAGTTATTTCTCTTGGTTCATATGATGTTCTCACTTTTCGTATAGCATTAGCTTATCCCTTTTTTCCCCCATCATTTTATCTGCTCTTGCTAAGAATTCTTAGTAGGTTCAAATAAGACATAATTTGCTCTTGCTATTTTGTGGAACAAGTTGAGAAATTTTCTTGGAATTGTTTGAGGCAGACGGATCACTTATCGGAATGCCATAAGCTTGTGATAGTAAAATGATTTTTTTTTTTTTTTTTGGCTGCCAATTCAGCTTCCGTGAGGACTTAAAATGTTGGTTCAAAATTTTATTATGATGTTGAGAATTCCACTCTCGAAATGAACTATTTGAAGAAAGTTAAGATACCTGTTAAAAGTCTTGAGTCATGCTTCCAGGGTTAAGCAAGGGCCTTGAAAAGAGGTCTGATTCATGGCAGCGAAATAAATGACATCAACTCTGGTGAAATGAGTGAACAGATTTTATCTACCAATTCTATTTTGGTCGGTAAGAATTGGTTTGGCATCTATAGTTTGACATCTCTTCTTTCGATTTACATAGGTTCTTTGGTTGGGCACAATAACTGGTGGCAACCTATTTGGTCATGACTATCAAATTTACATGAAACTTTTTCAACCTATTTGGTCATGACTATCAAATTTACATGAAACTTTTTCACTTATAACTGAACCTAGAAAATTTTAAAACTATTTGCTCATGTATTTGGATATGCAGACGTTTTCATGACTTACGGTGGGAAAATTATTTTTGGAGTTTTGATTGTTCTATTTGTCACTAAATGCAACAGAATTCATGCGATAAAGATGTCAAAAACTCGATCACCGCCCTGGCACAATATCAATGGGTTCCGAGAATGCATGTCATCCAATAATAATGAAAAAGCATTTTCTTAATTGTTTCCATTTTAGCAGCTGGGAATTTTGTTTTCAAGGATGTCTAGGATTCAATTTGTTGAATTTTCTCTTTCATATTGGTGTTAAACAAGAATCTATTTCCACTGCAGGACTCAGACATGAGCCCTTTGGATTTGGATTTGTGCTTGAAAGGCCGCAACAGTGAGCTTGACTCTGTTGGCCAAAGCAAAGAGGATCAAGTGAAGAAAGCAAGCTCAGGTGGATTTTGGACGAGTGGTTGATCCAAGAAACAGAAAACCAATGAGTTATGTACTAGTATGAAACTCTGAATTGGTTGTCATTATGATACTCGTAGCATGTTAATATAAACCTTTTTTATTAGATTAAGCAACATTGCTTCACGTTGTAATTAACTGTAGGCTTCCTTTCCAGTTTCTCAATGAAGCTTCTAATGTACTAGTTTCTGCTATCTGTATATATTTTCAACCCTCATAGCTATCTTCCACGTCCAGATCTACCCCGACCCCCAACACTATGATTTTGTTTTTAGTTCATTTCTGCGACTCTGCAGCAGACAGTTATCTCATCTATTGTCTAATTCCGAATTTGAAGATCAGAATTGCAAATCCTGTACGCTTGGCATCTGTTATAATATGCAATAGTGGAAATTGAGCCCGACAATGAAGGCTATTATTATTGCATGCACTTCTACTGTAGGCTATTGATGCAATCACAAATTCCACTAACAGAGAATTAAGAAAAACATGCAAGAAAATCACGTTTATTGATTCAAAATAGTTGTAACACGATACAATGAACAAATACAATCACAATGTCTATTGAATGTGAAGGTTTTACAAGAAATCCGAGAAGAAATTGAATCGGGGAGAAGTTACGAAGAGGGAGAATTTCGGAGAAGAAAAATCAAAAGAGGGAAGAACAACCAAAATCTGCTTAACCCCTCAACCGAGTTTTCCCCCTCTTTTTATAGCCTTCTCTCCTCTAATTAATTAACTCTAACCGACTCGTAACAACTTCTTAACAAACTAATTGCTACTTAACAAACGCCGCCTAGCACTATCCACGTGAGATGCTAACTCGGCCTCCTAAATTGCCACTATAGCTTCCAATGTTAAAAGTCCTTTCGTACCTCCCCTTGTCTACTTGCCTCTTCATTCTAGTATGAGCCTTAATCAAATTGTCTTTAAGAACTCCAATCATTACTTCCTTATCCTATAGAAACTCATCCACATCTACCTCCTTGCAATCATTAGCAAAATAAGGTAAATGCAAAGAAGGATGATACCATACAAAGCTTCAAATGGGGATCGTTTGATGGACGAATGAAATGAGGTATTATACCGAGTACTCGGTAAGACACAACCACCTACACCAAGCACTAGGCAGAGAGGAAGTCATGCATCCGAGATATGTTTGTAAGCATCCGTTTACCACCTCTCGTTTAGCTATCGGTTTGGGGGTTGTAAGCGAGTGAAGAACTTAAGTGACACCCCTTAATAAGCAAACATCTCTTTCCAAAATCGACCGAGCAAGATAGAGTCTCTATCCGGGATAATATTCGGGGCAAACCATGTAGTTTGTAAACATTCTCCATAAAAGCCTTAGCCACATTCGTTGGCAATATAAGGATGAGCAAGTGGCATAAAATATGCATACTTGGTGAGGCAATCCACCACTACAAAGATTACTGATTTCCCTTGCGAGGTTGGCAAGCCCTTAATGAAATCCACGAGTGGTGTTTGAAAAAATGGCTTATGCATTGGTAATGGATTTAAAAGACCGGGAGAAGCCACATTTTCATACTTGCGTTGTTGACGGACATGGCAATTCCTCAAACTCTCTCACCTCTCGAATTAAGCCTTTCCAATAAAACCATTGAGCCAACTTTTTTGTGGTCATTGCCACTCCAGAATGACCCTCGTAGCCTAAAGCATGGAAATATGAAATTATTTCCTAATACAAGGCGAGGTCTCTTCCTACAACCAGACTCTTCCCTTCCTCCGCAACCGTTGATTCTGCCACTTGTACTTGGGATGCTCCGCTCGTGAGTCCCGTAATTGAGATAATTGCTACAAGTGCAAAATCGGACTTCCAAGAATCTTTAATTTTCTCCATCAAGTCGAGTAGAATTTGAAAAAACGGCCAATTCGACCAACTAGACCCTTGATAAAGCATCCGCCACCACATTCTCCTTTCCTTTCTTGTAGACAATTTCATAGTCATACCTCATCAACTTTACTAACCACTTAAATTGATTAGCATTATGTATGTTCCGATCCAATAGATGTTTGAGGCTTTGATGATCGGTGTGAATGATAAAATGTCTAACAACTAGGTAAGAATACCATTTTTTTTAATGATGAAGGCTATGGGGTGACCTTTTTGCATAAGTACAACTCTTATTCCCATGTCAAAGGCATCGGCTTCAATGATAAATTCCTCTTGCAGTGGGGTAAAGCCAACACATGAGTTGTGGTCATAGCTCGTTTCAACTATCGAAATGCTGCCTCTGCTAGAAGGCTCCAAACAAATGCATCTTTCTTTAACGGATTTGTTAAAGGTTTAGCTATCCTCCCGTAATTCTTCATGAATCTTCCGTAGTAACCCATGAGGCCCAAGAACCCTCCGAGCTACTTCGCATTTGCGAGTATCGGCCACTCGCTGCACCGATTCTACCTTCTTAGGATCGGTCCGCACCTCCTCCGTCGAGATAAAGTCCGCAAGTGCCCCAAGTATTCTACTTTAGAAGTTCCAAAAATGCATTTAGAGTGTTTTGCAAATAAGGTGTTCTCCTTTAGTATAGACAGAATGGTTTTTAAATGAAAAACATGTTCATGCATATTTTTATTGAAAACCAATATATCATTAAAGAAAACCAAGATGAATTTTCATAAAAGTGGTCCGAAAACATCATTCATGAAGGACTAGAAGGTACTTGGCGCATTGGTTAACTCGAATGCCATAACCAAATACTCATAATGCCCATTATGAGTTCTAAAAGCTATTTTGGGAATATCGAAACATTCATTCTAATTTGATGATAACCAACCCTTATATCAAGTTTTGAAAACACAGGTAACCCTTACAACTCTTATAATAACTCCTCAATTACCGAAATTGGAAATTGATCTTTGACAATAAGCTGATTCAATCTTTTATAGTCTACACACATCCTCCATCTCGTTATCCTTCTTCTTTACTAACACCACAAAAGAGGAGAATGGACGAGTGCTAGCTTGAATAATTCCATTCTCCAACATATCCTTAACTTGTCGTTCAATCTCATCTTTTTTAATAGAATGATACCTATAAGGTTTCATGCTTACCGGTTCAACTCCTTCTTAAAGTCTTATGTGGTGATCATGGCTTCGTTGGGGGGTAACCCTTTCGGTTCTGCAAACACATCACCAAATGACTCTACCACTAACCGCAATTCCCATGGAATCTGCTGCTCTAACTTTGTTTCCCCTTTTTCTAATTCGCACACTCCAGGCTCCATCAAAGCACTTAATTGAATCAAATTAAGTGACTGCCGCAAACATATGCTTTTATCCACCTCCCTCTCTTCTCTATCGTTGCTTCGTTTCCACATTTTCCCAATAGTGTAATCGGCTTGCTACCCTTTCCAAATCTCATCCACAAGCTCGAAAATTCCAAGTAATATTCCCTAATGCATAAAGCCAAGCTACTGCTAGAATCATGTCATATAATCGCAATTGCATTACAAACACGAAGTCTCAAAAACTTCCCTTGCATTTTCCATTTAAAATTTTTACACTTATAGCCACATGTAATTTCCGCACCATCGGCTACTCGATCGTTATTGGTTCAATTTGAGTATGCTCACACTTGTTTCTCCTTGCAAATGCTAAGTCCACAAAGTTATGTGTGCTCCTCGTATCCACTAAAATAGTCATCATCTTCCCCCGAAAATTCCCTATAACCTTCATGGTTTGGTAGTGTTCCTCAACAAACACTCGCCTAGATCGATGTTTGGCGTAATTCTCCATCATAACCACTTGGATTCACACTTTCCCCACCTAACATTTCCTTCTCACTTATTTCAATATCTTCCATATTAATGCCTTCCTCTACTTCTAACATTAACATTTGCATGTCTTTACACTTATGGCTAGGGGAAAATTTCTCATCACGAAGTAACACAATCCTTTCATCTTTCTTTCCTCCATTTCGTGTTATTAGGCGAGTTGTTTGGTTTTGAAAAAGGAATTATTGTTTTGGAATTGGTTTAGTAAAGGAAACAAACCCTTTGGGTTGTTTGTAAGGTTCTTTGGATGGTTCTAGGGTATATTATGGTGAAAGGAATTTACAGTGTCCGTTATTATCGGTATTGTTCATCCCGGCATTAAAAGGAAGAAGGTTATTGTTTGTTCTTTGGGTAAACATGGGGGAAAGAGCTTTAATATTGAGTTTGTTGAAGTTATAATGGATATTCGGGTTGGTTTCTTGCAATTTGGCTATAGCTACTACTTTGTTCAAGGTTTTTGTTCTCATTACCCTTACTAGAACTCCGCAATTCGGGTTTTAACCCCCCAATAAAGCGAGCTAATGATATACTCCTCGAGCAAACTAGCCTATTAACAACGAAATGAAGTTTTTTAGAAAGGATTGCACATCCCGCACTTGTTTAAACCCTATCAACTCAGCCATAAGATCCCTAAATATCATAAGTATCGAAACGACTACTCATCGCTTCAGTATAATCTTCCCATTTAATCACTCGCTCTACTCCTATTCATTCTCGTGTAAACTTGATGCCATTCTAAAGCTTCTTCCTCTAGGTGTATGGTTACTAAGTTCACTTTAGCCTTATCGGGAGTTTTATCAACCATAAAAAAACTTCTCACACCTAAAAATCCATCCTTTAAAGTCATTTCCCGAAAATCTCAAAAATTCCACCCTAGACATCCTAGTGTTGAAGTTATATCGCACAACAAGTATCATCTTCCAACCTAGTGTTCATGCCATGCATTGAATGACCATACCTACGAACCTCGTATTCCCTTCTATTCCCATCTCCTAAGTTTTTTGCCATATTACCATTCATTTTCTCATGTACTATAATTGCTAAGTTGTTAACCAACTCTTTCAATTCTACAAGATCATGATCATGTCTGTAAAGAAAGGTCGGCGACTACCTTTGTAAGATTAGCCATTGACTCCTCCATCTTCTTGAAATCAACATTTCCTTTAGCCATGATTGATGTTGTAAGTGTTCCATAGGCGAGAGAATCTTGCTTTGATACCAATTGATGCAATCACAAATTTCAATAACAGAGAAGTAAGAGAAAAATGCAAGAAAATCATGTTTATTGATTCAAAATAGTTGTAACACGATACAATGAACAAATACAATCACAATATATATTGAAGGTTTTACAAGAAATCCGAGAAGAAATAGAATTAGGAAGAAGTTAAGAAGAGGGAGAATTTCAAAGAAGAAAAATCAAAAGAGGGACAAACAACCAAAATCCGCTTAACCACTCAACCGAGTTTTCCTCCTCTTTTTTATAGCCTTCTCTCCTCTAATTAATTAACTCTAACTGAATCGTAACAACTTCTTAACAACTAACTGCTACTTAACAAACGCCAGCTGGCGCTATCCACGTGAGATGCCAACTCAGCCTCCTAACTTGCCATTGCAGCTTCCACATCATCCAACTCCTCTGTTTATTTCCTTCCTTATTTCCTGCCTGCTACGCATGTGTTTCACCAGCATTTGCCTCAAAACAGCTATCCATTTCCTGTAGCACTAGAAACCGTTAATCAAAATCTCTACTCTACCGTGAACCAGCAAAAAGCGCCACCACTCCTCGCCAACTACCTTGTCTAGCTGCAGGTAGCACTAAAAAGATTAATACGTAGTTTCAAAGCATTCTCACGTTATGGGAACTGCTTGTGGATTTTACTTCAATGCGAGTGGAATATTCATTTGTGTGTGGAATAGTAATAATATGAGAGGACTGGAAATTACTAGTGGAATAGTAATAATGTGAGTGAAATATTCACTTCTATTTGAGCGGAAGAGTAGCAGTCGAAACTCTGAAAGTACCTAATAACATAGCCCGTACCATGAGTGCTGCCCTAGGGTTTATTGAGGTTACCAACAAACCCTTTCCACCTACGACCTTCACCCACCCATTAAACTGAGGGGTCACGTGCTCTCCTGGTCAGATTTCCACCCATCCATAAGGAAAGGTCGTCAGCAGCACTGATGATCTGACAAGGTTGATTTTACAATTTTCTCAACAGGAAGGTTAATGCACGCCTCCATTTGGTGACTTGCTCCAACCCTAAAGCATATATTTGTTGCCTGAGACTTGGTCCTCCTTGGAGACGCCTCCTCCCACCCCCAGTAGGGCAGGTTACCCTAGACCGGCTTGGTCATGTTTGGTCTTAAAATCCAACATTGTGCATGTACTCGCATGCGTTACGGGTTTGCAGAGTCTGGTCTTGCGTGTTAGGGTTTATAGGTTTTGTAATGCATGAATATCTATTTTTTTTCCAAACATATGCCACTCTAATTTGGGTCTTGACTCGAGTGCTTCTCTAGACTAGGCGTTAACAGACACCCATGAAAATATTGAACCATCTGCATCATAAGACTTGTTTCAAATCCAAAATTACTCAAGTTATGGATAGGATTATAAACACTGCTGTTGGTTCCGCTTGCAGGTGCAATTCGTATCTGAATATTTTGGCTGAATCTCCTCCCACAAATTGCACACTTGCTACCATGATAATGCTTCTCTTTTCTACAACACAACACAACGGTCCTCTAAAGTCAAGAAAACAAAATAACATGAAAGCAGTGATCCCTGTAACTTCCAATGATACGTCCCAAGTGCAAACAAATAGCCATCCTCATCTAGCTCATAGCTGCATCTAAAGCATAAAGAATATCCAGAGCCCTATCATTGTCATCTACATGGATTATAAGAGATCATGGGAAAGAAAATAAACAAGGACCTTTTCAAGGCACAGTTGAATCTGACACTAAATATTACATCTCATTCTTCTTAGATCGCAAAACTTTGGAATCTCTACCATGCCATATCTTCAAGCATCAATGCCTTCCTACTCACTATTTCCTTCAGCACCATTCTCCACTGCTTGAGTAACACCAACTTCAGCTGGCCGAATAACTCTCTCATGGAGCATGTATCCTGCCTGTAATTTATATAACACACGGAAGCATTTCAGTATGTAGCATCCATTTTTAGTTTGCACTTTTAAACCAAATACTAGTCACACTGTGCATTTTCAGAAACACCCAACAAGGCTTTACAAATGCAATTAGCAGGATACCAGATACATCAAGCTCAGTCATAGAGAGATGCAAGAAAAGATATTCTACCAAAAGAAAAGAAACAGGGGCAATGCTAGTGACAGTCACTAGCAACTCCATCAGTAATGGCAACCATTTAGACGGTTAAGTGAAGGAAAAGAAAAACCAAGTTATAACATTATCACAACACAACAAGAGCTTGAAACAGTGCACAAGTAACCCGCCATATTACCGCCCCATCCCTTCCATCTTATGACCCCAAACTGATCCAGAGAGGAAAAAAACACAATCATATGCTCAGTAGCCAAAATCACACCAAAAACCAATTCTCAGTCCAGCTTTTACTTGTGTAGAATCAAGTCCAACCATCAACCAATCTCACATACAAACAATCTCCAATATTTTATCCCATCCATGTTAGATTATAATCAATCAAAGATTTGGTCATAGAGTATGCTCAAAACCCAATTGGATTATGGATATCCAACTGGTTCATCAAAAAATAAAAGTATGAGAACAGGCTTCTTTTTGAATTGGTCATAGAGGCAAATCCCTAAATTGAATTATTTCATATGAAAATTGCATGACCTATGGAGATAAGTGCATTTTTTCAAATTAGCTGGAAGTAGGAAAGAAACAGAAAATACAAAGAAGAGGGTCTCTCTGTTTCAACGTTCTATTTATGCTTTGGGTTTGTCTCTTCACAGCTCACACATGGTTTCCAAATTTTCAGTTTGATAAAATGATTTTAAGGGGAGAATGACACAGGATTGAGAGAGAGAGAGAGAGAGAGATGAGAGTTTCTTTTTCAATTAAAAAGTATAAAGTTGATATAGCAAATGTAACTGATTTCCTATGTTCCTTTCTAACTCTACTTGCAAGGCAACTGTTGCAAAAAGCTGTCTAACTGACTACTGCTAGCATTCCTCAAGAAACAATTCTACTTGAAACAATGGAACAATAACAAAAAGAAACAACGAAAATAATAATCACATCTCAATAACTAAATATTGTTTTCCCAGTTGAAGGAAAAAAAAAAAAAAAAAAAAAAAAAAAAAAACTGCATCAACAATAATTTCAATCAAATGGCTTGCAATAGTGAGCTCTATAGTTGATCAATAAAAAGCTTTATTATATTCAATGAATACCTTGAGAACAGTAGCTACTGTCCCTGAAGGCTTAGAAGCATCTGGTACTTGGAATATTGCATTATGCCTATGTGGATCAAATGGCTCATTTGTTGGATCAAATTTTTCTACTCCATACTTCTTAAATACCTGAAATCCAAAGCATCACATGGATGTTTGAGCAATGATTTAATACCAAATGCAAAATGTATACCTAGAGAGAAGGCCGTGATGTAAGGTGCTGGCTTATGATGTAACAAGAAATGTTACCTCTTCAAGCTGTTTCTCGGTCATTTCAACTCCTTCCAAAAGCGTCTTAAGGAGTGGTACTACCTGGGCAGTGTCATTAGACACATCAATTTTTGAGAAATTGCCTTTGACAACTGATGAAGCTCTTCCCAAATTGTCTGCAACATCAAGTAGGTTCTTTGCAAAATTCTGAGGTACATATTTTGAAAACACATTTAGTTATAATTCCATATACAAGAATAGCCAAAAAGATAATTGATGAATCCACATTTCCGACAAAAAGGTGAAGACAGGAAGAAAGAAAAGCATGCTGTCATTAGGTGAAGCTGACCTGGATGGCAAACTTTTTAGAGTTCTCTGCTTCACGTTTTGTTCTTTCCTTGACATTTTCCATTTCAGCATATGTTCGGACAACTTTATCTTGCATTGTCTCAATCTCCTTATGCTTTGCTTTCAGGAGTTCCTCCTTCTCCGCCACAAGCTTCACCAAATCATCCACAGATAGATCACTCCCGGCCTCAGAATCTGAATCAGAAAATGCAGTTCGTTTAGTACCTCGCCTCCTTTTAACAGATTGGGACACAGTTTGTTGGGATTCCAAGTTGAAACCTGACTCTTTGGTCTCATGCGAAACTGAATCTTTTGTCTGATCACAAATCTCTGCACTTCCATTTGTTTTTTCCGACTCTTCATTTGCACAATTGGCATCTACAGCACTTCCCTGCTCCTTTTCAGTAGGCTCAGGAGATGCAGATGAAGTGAACCCAAAATTTTGAAAGCGAGAGGGGTTTAGGGCTGAATGATGAAACAAACACACCTTACTTGTGATACACTGAAATAAGACATGCAAGCTATATAACATTAAAACACTGGAGAAAAATTCAAAATGGGAATTCAAAATAGTCAAGAAGCAATCAAATATTAAAATAACCCAAAGTACTTTGAAATAAATGAAAGTCAAATCCAATGATTTGTATTACGACAGAAATAGTAGTGGACCCTTACATAGATCAGAGGAACTCACACACATGTGCATGCTAATTAGAAATCATAAAACAACAATAAATGAATGATATTTAAACATACAAAAAGAAAATCCAACATTGACAACGTTTAATAGTAAACCCAAACTGCCACCCTCTATAAGCTGAACCCAAAAATCTTAAATGGCACTGATACAAGCCACCAGGATAACCACAATTAACTTATTGCATGTTATGGACAATGTAACCAGATGTTTTAACTCAAAGGAAGACAGGTTAATTCAATTAATTAAAAGGAAAAAAAAAGCCTATTAATTTAAAACCCCTAAATGATAGTACAAAATCAGTTGCATTCGACTTGCTCTCTCAGTAGCCTACTAGAATTTGCAAATTTCAAGCAAAAGGCAACAAGTAAAAATTTTTCATAATAATTTCATAACTAAATAATGGTAGTGCTATCTTAATCTCAAATTCGAGTCATAAAATTTCAAATTTATTAAACCTTGGCAAAACCGTGCTATGAAATCAGACACGTAAAGAACAACCCAAACCATGAATAAAAACAAAAAACAAAAAACAAAATGCACAAATAAAATAGCAGTCTGATTAATTTGAGTCAAAATCCTTAAACCCTAGAAAAACCTACTATGAAGTCAGACACGATGGATAACAAAAGAACCAAAATTCTAACTAATTTAAGTCAAATCCTTAAACCCTACCAAAAACCTCAAAAAGAACAACATATAAAAACACAAATCTGGCTAATTTGATTCAAATCCTTAAACCCTAGTGAAAACCTAAAATGAAATCAGACACGAGAAGAACAATCCATGGATTAAAAGAAAACAAAAAATTCAGAGTAATTTGAGTCAAATCCTTAAACCCTGCCAAAAACCTCAAAAAGAACAACCCATAAAAACACAAATTCTGACTAATTTGATTGAAATCCTTAAACGCTAGCGAAAACCTAGAATGAAATCATACATGAAAAGAACAACCCATTGATGAAAAGAAAAAGAAAAATTCAAAGTAATTTGAGTCAAATCCTTAAACCCTAGCAAAAACCCTGAGGTGAAAATCAAACACCAAAAGTTTGAGTATTAAAAAACGAACACACCTTGTTAGGATATCCATATTCATGAGCAAGAGAGTGAAACTGATTAGGGAGAATCGGCAACAGGTGGTGATTCTGGAAAGGAGAGTGTAGAAGCAGGGAGCGTCGGCCAACGGTCCTCGAAAGGCGTGACAACATCTTGTTCGTCAACATGTTTGGGTGGTTGGTTACAAGGGTATTGATAAATTATTACAAAGAGGCAAAAACAGAAGAAAAAAGTGAAGAGTATAAATGGTTGGGTTAGGAAACGGAAAGAGAAATAGGACAGAGGATAGGGGGCGTGGAGAAGAAGAAAGATGGTTTAATGCGCTGGAGAGTGAAGGAACCTTCGGAAGGAAAGGTAGGTTTTCTTTTCTTTTCTTTTCGGCCAAAAACTAAATGGAGTTCCAAACTTTGCCCTTTTAATTATTTGAATTTTCCAATGTGGTCCTTGCATGAGTCAAGGTAGCGGTTCGTTCCATTAGGTAATTTTAAGTCATATAACTACGAACACTATATTACACATTTTAGGTAAAAATATCTAACACGGTACGTGTGTTAAATGTAAGATCTTGATTTGTTTACATGGGCTAAAATCTACTTGGCGTTAATAATTCACATGTCCACTGATATACATATATATATATATATATATGAATGATCCGATTTTCAAGGACAAAATTATTTGATCGTTTTACAATTTCGATAATTTCGTTTACAATTTCGCCAACCTTTTCTTTAAAAGGTTTCAAGAGCTTGTCAAAGAGAGACATGATCATTGACATCCTAGCGTCTTGAACACTGTGCAAGAGTCTTGACTCTTGAATGTACATAACAATATAACTTATCAAAGTGTAACATACAGATCTTTTGTAAGACTTTTTGGATTAAAAAGTTTTATGCACCTTTTTATTCTTGATTATGTACTAGTTTTCTTTCTCTATTTTTATTTATCTTAATATCTCTCATTTTTATTTAATCGAAAGTTATGGTTATTTGTCAATTAAACTATAACTTACTTAAGATATTGACACGTATCTGATTCTTTTTTTTTTCTTCTTCTTCTTCTTCTTCCTCTCTCCTCCTCCCTCCACTGTGACTGCCAATTTCTTCTTTCCTATCAATAAAAGTAAAATGATAATTGAAAGATGAAGAAAAGGTTTGGCCTTAAACTTAATTTGTTGTATCATGGTCAAACTTTGTGGACAATATCGATTGCGTTCTTTATCTTGTGATAACTTGTGGTAGTTGTTGACATGAATGTCAAATGTTAAATTATATTACTTAATAAATCCAATTGTTCTGAATTATATCGTATGATTAATCCAATTGTTTTTTAAGCTAGATCGAGAACAAATAGTTTTTATACATCTTTGAGGCTTTTCATTATTTGTTTCCTTTACCAGTGAAACAAAACTGTCCTTTTTTATTTTTGATGGTGGAGGAAAGATGAGGAAGAAGAATAAAGGGGGAAAAGGGAAAAAAAAAAAAAGATTTGGACACATGTCATTATCATAGATAGGTTACTCATTGATTGACTTGCAACTATGGCTCCTAATCAAATAAAAAACCTAGTCAAGAAGAATTTAAAAATACAAAAAGGACATTAAAATAAATAAAAATAGATGGGAAAATTAGCATATAATCAAGTGTAAAAAGACTCATAAAAGCTTTTAACCAAATTTTTTTATACTTTTACCCCTCAACTATTTTTCAACTTGTTTTTCTTTTATAAAAAGTTTAATATCACGAATGGATATTTATCTTCTTTAAATATCATCAAATCTTTTAGAATAACTAAGAAAATAACTTACGAACTGGTTAATGGCTAAACTCATTTTTTGCACCGTGTATTTTTACCAATTCATAAATAATATATAAATCATTTATTATCAATTCTGTCAAATGATTTCTTTTTTTTTTTTTTAGCAAATTGAATAAAATTTGTAAACTAGAATTTTATCTCGGTCAATTAAATAGTTTTCTTCACTACTTGAATCATTATCATCAACTTTACTTTTATTTTTGTATATATCAGCATTCATCCGCATCATATATATATATATATATATATATATATATATATATATATAACCTTGTAAAACATTATACTAAAAAACCTATTTAAATGTTTTTACATCTAAAAAGCCTTGAAATAAAATTTCTTTCATACCAAAAAAAATTAAAAAATCAAAATTGGTCAATTGCGTTTATTAATAGTTAGATATTTGGGATTTTTTTTTTTTTTTTTGGGTTTATAGATACAAAATTATTTTGATGAATATTTTGGGTTTTTTTTTCAAGAGAGTTTTGGTATTTATCTCTAAATTTTACGAAAACAAGCAATCATAGGTCATAATTTAATATCAAATTTATATAGTCCTAACATTATTGTCATTCTAGGAACATTTTCAGCAAATTAAAACATACTAAATTAGTTAAGATTTATAATTAAATCTTATTAAATTACAATTAGGTCCTAAAATCGAAGTCGCATCAATTTAATATTTGATTCGATACGGTCTTGCAATAAGTATCATGCCAATAACATTTCGGTAGATTAAGACATGCTAAATTAATCAAGACTTATTATGCAAGAATATTAATATTACATTGATGGTGTGTTGTACTTGTCATAAAATTATATATTTATTCTCCTCACTTGACCTAATTACAAAACTATAGCTAGGGTAAGTAAAGGTCAATCTCACGGAGAATCAACACAATCAACTTTGCTTTTATTGTCCGATTGTTACGGAATACAAAAAAAGAGAAAGGGAGGTTTTGTTTGCGAGAGAGTAGTAAAGGTAAGCAAAATTAGACAAAGAGGTAAAAAAGAGTAATAAAAGCCTCGGTCAAAGGATTGTTGTAATTTTTGGTTCAATCATTGATCATTGATTCAAATATTAATCCATTTTTTTCATGAATATTTAATATAAAACGAGTAATAAGCATGTTATCATCAATCTTTCCTCAATGATTCGTTAATCAAAACAAGCTATTTAATTAATCTCTAACTATTCAACAACGTAATATAAGCTATCTAGATTTCATTCAATAGTACCATTAAGTAATAGAAAGATAGGTGAAGCTAAATACCTCTCCTACAAGCTAGGAGAATTTAATCTAGTTCTACATTCTTCGAGGAATAAAACGAAAACTCATTTATAATCATTAATCCCTAGTTGCTACCACAAGTAAGATTAGATAAACAAGTATGGACTTGAATTCATAATTAGCGAGTAGATTACATAGATCAATCAAATAGTTTACACTCTAATCAATCAATCAACACAATCATATGTAATGATAATGGAAAAACATTAAATACCTAAAAAAATCAAATTAGAAATAGAACCCATTTTGATCTCACAATGATTTAACCAAAAGTTCAACTTTTTTCTTCAACCAAGAAAGAGTATTTAGTGTTGCACGATTTTCCTCACAAAAGCTTTTTCTTTCTATCTATGACTACTTGGAATGAATAAATTCATAAAGTAAAACCTTAACTTCTCTATTTATAGCTAAAATTAGGGTTTCAACACACACATGGTTGCCTCATATGGAAACACGGCTTGTTACTTTATGTGTATGATTTGTTCTTTGGACATATACGGTTTAGAGCCTCGAACAATTGTTGGCACATGGCTTGCTTGAGTCGAGGCACACGAGCATGTCATATTTTCTTTTCATCTCATGTCTCTTAGCTTCTACTTGTGTGGCGTTTGTTTTCCCTTGAAGGATAGCTCGGTTTTGACACACACATGGGCATGTAAATTATGCTACACAAGCCATGCTTATTTCTACTATCCATGTGTCTTCTTGTGCTGACATCCATATGGCTTCCCTTTTGGTTTCACATGGCCAAAAGCTTTTTTCTTTTGTAAGACACATAGCTGTGTGTCTCTTTCCATCAACTTAGTTGTGCTTGTTGTCTCCTTTGGTTTTTTTTATGGGCTTGGGCTTTTATGCTTCTTGGCTTGGGTTTATTCGCTTTGATTTTCCATTCTTCTTATAAAACCCAAAATCGTTATCTTTTTCTTAATTAGCTTAATACTATACATAAAGTACTAGTGAGTTTAATGTAAAAGGGAATAAAAATTATGCATCGATCAAATTCTCCTTCACTCAAACTTTACTATTCCTTGAGTAAAACAAACAAAACAAAAACTTAACTCACTTTTGTAGGAATCAAGATTGTATTTAGTACGTGTAATAAGCCTTTAAATCCCTAGGTTATCCTTAGTGGATGAGTTATGTCTCATGAGGATTTTCGGAAGATATACCCACAAAATCTTAGATGAATGTCATATATATATATATAACGGTTGTTCTATTTTATTTTATCTTAATATCATTTATATCCGTTATATTTTCATCTTCGTTATGCTTTATCATCAATTGTTAACGTTTTAAAAAATTGTTACGTACATCATGAAATTTCTCATTGATGTATATTTTGGTCCAAAATTCATTAAAAATTTTTAGTGTAGTCCCTTTATTTTGTATTTTTATAAATAAGTATTTAGTTGAAAGTTTTTTTTTCTCATTATATTTTGCAATGTATATAATTTAGTCCCAAAATATTTTTCAATTAATTCCTTACATGTCAACTAGTAAATTTGCCCAAATTAAATTCTCATGATGATATATAATAATATAGAAAGCAAAAATTTAGTAAAATCACAATAATTCAATTACAATAATTAAAAAATAATCACATCTATTCAATCAATGCAATCAAACAAAAATTATTAAGAAGTTCGGGGGTTAAATTATTATTTTGAGATGAAAATCTTTTTTTGACTTTTTGAATTTATGGCAACATGTTGTGATTTTATTATATAATAACGAATTAATTGACTTGTGTATGGTAATAGAGTTAAATTGACATATTTGATTTTTTTAATATTTTTTATTTAATAATATTGGTTTTGTAATTATTGAATTATTGTTGTTATGTTATTAAAAAATAATACATTTAAAATAATATGAGAAAAAAAATTCAAAATAAAAATAAAAATACTTCATATACGTAAGATGATATGTGTATTTTGATAAGTTTACTATTTTTGACATGTAGAAATTTAATTGAAAAAAAAATTTAGAGACGAGAATGTATATGAGCAAAAAATTTTGTACTCGTTAGATTTCAATGGCGTTAGTAATGCAAATTGACAATGATAACGTAATGATAACAGAAATTGAAAGAAAAAAATAAAAAGATGGAACTTTTAAAATATAAAATGAAGAGTACAGATATGTAGAGAAACATTAACCTTATGATAGTAGCTAAGAATTGAATTGGCGTCATTGGGGAAATTTAAATCCGCCATCTACAACCAAATTATGTCCGGTTACAAACTCAGAGTCATCGGAAGCAAGAAACAAGACAGCATCGGCCACGTGCTTCAGCTTCAACACCCCTTTCAGATAAGAAGTCGACTCAAAAGTCTTCTCCACCTCCTCCACTCCCATGTTAAACGCCTTGCACAATAGAGGCGTCGCTACTGCCCCTGGTGACACGCAATTCACTCGTATTCCGTGCTCACCCAACTGATAACTTGCCGACTTAAGCAACCCCAGTACTGCACACTTAGACATGACATAGTCTGTATGAATGTTTCCACCATTATTAGCTGCGATGCTGCCTGTGCAAATGATGCTGCCCTTTCTACCTCCTTCCACCATTGCACGCGCCGCATGTTTTACACTTGCTGCCACTCCACGCACATTTACTGCAAAAAGTTTATCGTACAAGTCCAGGTCGAAGTCGACAATGGTCTGTTTATCGAAGC